AAAAAAAAAAAAAAAGAAGTTAATCTTATGGCTATATATGCAAGGTCAGTACGTGTAATTGACTGTTTATATTATTAGTCGGTAAGGCTTCCAACCAATCATCATGTATTAGTAGTTAAGTTTTGGAGGAGACCTTTGGCTTTGGATGAAGAGTTACACTATCAGTCATCCTGGTTCTGAGGCCTTTGGGTTCAGACTGAGACATGCTGTGAGATTCCCTGAGTCTCCAGCTTGCAGATTCCACATGGAGTGAACCAATTCTCCTACTAAATCTCCCCTCATATGTCATCTATATCTGTATCTAATCTATATCTAATGTGTATCTGTATCTATATCCTCTTGGTTATGTCTCTCTGGAGAGCCCCAGCTAAAACAGAGGACCTGCATGATCTTCCCTTTTCCAACTGACTCTCTATGTGATGTTGGACTTGCATGTCGTAGCATCAGCCTGGATGGGGAAGCAGGAATGAGAGTCCAGCTGTGTTTTATTAAGCCAGACACTGGGGGGATTTGCAAAAACATAAAATGACATCTCTCTTTTTACACTAAGTATTTTGATCATTCTATCAAAATATTTTATTTAGGTTAACATGTTGTGTGTTTATTATCCTTTTTTTTTCAAGGAATAAATCTTTTAATGATAGCTTTATGGAGGTGTAATTTACATACCATGCAATTCAGCCATTTCAATGGTTTTTAGAACATTCGGACTTGTGCTATCATCACCACACCAATTTCAGAGCATTTCATCTTGCCAAAAATAAACTTAACATCCCTTTTAGCAGTTGTCCCTGAGTCATTCCAGGCTTCAGCTCCTGGCAATACTCTGTCTCTAGATTTGCCTTTTATGGATATTTCACATACAATAAGTGAAACTAGATAATATGTAGTCTTATATGAGTGGAATTTCTCACTCAGCATCATGTTTTCAAAGTTTATACATGTTAATTGCATGTGTTAGTACCTCATTCCTTTTTATGGCTGAATAACATTCCATTGTATGCAGAGGTCAGTGATGCTTTAAACATTTGTGTACAAGTTGTTGTGTGAACTGACATTTGCATTCATCCTGGGCAAATATCTAGGAGTGTAATTGCTGAGTCATTCAGTGTCCAACCTTTTGAAGAACTGTCAGATTATTTTACAAAGCAGTGGCATCATTTTCCATTCCACCAACAGTATTTGAGGGTACTAATTAATTCACATCCTGGCTGATACTTGTTACATCTATTTTTCAGAATATAATCAACCTAGTGTGAATTGGTTTCTCACTATGGTTTTGACAGCATTTTCCTAATGGATAATGATGTTGATAATCTTTTTGTGTGCTTATTAGTCATCTGTATAAATAAATATTTTATAATTTAAAAGTGTTAAATTTATAATTAGGTAAATATTAATAGAGATAATCCAATCTTCAATATGTATTTCCTTTTTTAAAATTTCAAATTATTAATAATTTTAAGAAGCATTCAGACACCCTGAGACCATAAAGTTTATGAACAACCAGCTAGCATGAAGTGGGTCAAGGGGTTGTTCCAGTGGAGATCTCCTTCCATCTTTCTTCCCTGATAAGAGCTCTCTATCCTCCCTTTGAACCTCCTTTCCCAGAAAAAAGGATGGAGGAGGGCAAATCCTTTGGTTGTGAGTATTGAGATAAGACAAAAATGGTGGCAGCCTACTCTTGCTAGTTATGCCCTGACCCACAACATGTACCCAAGTCTTACCCTGACCCAGAATTCTCAGAGGTGTCTTAAAATCCAAAGGAGTCTGAGACTGGCTAGGCATGGAAATATAAAGTTGGGTTTCTCACAGTTCTTACTTTTTTCTGCAGTTGCAACTGGGAGCAAAAGCATCAGCCATCAGGATCACAACAGGATCAGAGAGCAGGGAGTAGGGAAAGAATTTAGCATTAGACTCAGATCACTGCAATAACCAAGAAAACCAGAGCTTAACATGTCCGAGGAGACTAGTTAATCCACACACTGCTTGAATCATTAAAGTTACTTGGGTTCATCCATCCACCCATCCATCTATCTATGCATATATCCATTACTCATCCATCCATCCAGCCATTCATCTATCCACCTATCCATTCATCCATTGACCCATCCATTCATCTACTTGATCATCCATCCATTCTCCATCCAACCAATATTCACTCTCTCTCTCTCTCTCTCTCTCTCTCTCTACATATATATATATATATACACACTGTGGGCACTGGCCTATGTTTGGTGCTAGGGACACAGATAAATTGGACTCAGTCCCTGTTCTGCAGGTGTTTATAAGGCTTCCTGGGAAGAAAGATGCAGGTACAGGAGTAAACAAGACATTCCAAACCCCATTCTCATGAACTTTCAACCTATGAATGTCTTGATTATCTTATAGGCACTTCAAACTCAATTTGTTCTGTCCAAAATAGAATTTGTGGTCATCATTCTTCTACCCATCAAAAAATAATCTGTTAATTTAATAAATATCTCTGAATTCATGCTGATATAAATATACTACTTGAATAAATAAATGGAGGAGAGTCATTTCTTCCTTACAGAAGAATTTCAATTAATACCTGTAGAAGGACTAAGGGGAGTAGAAAGTCACCATTGGAGAAACACGACAGTAATTATTTCTACAAGTAAAATCCACAGGAAGATGCTAAAATTATTGGAGAAATGCTGGAGGAGAAATAGAATATTTACATAATCTCAAAGTATCTTCTTGAGAACATTTATTCATTACAAAGGGGAAATAGCTTCACAGTGAAGAGAGCTGGAAGACACTCCTTACTCAAGTGATTAGACCCAAATCATCAGGGGCAATGAGATACATCAACATCTTGTGACCTCTGGTGTAATCTGCAGAGAAGAACCTCACACTATTTGTGTTTGTTCCTGCCCCACATGCAGAACCTCAATCTAGTCATGAGACAACTCCAGACCAACCTAAATGAAGATGTTCTGTAGAACAACTGATCAGAGCTCTTTGAATGTCTCAAGTCATGAAGACAAAGATTGACCAATCTGGATCACCAGGTCTAAGGTCAAGTCACAGGACTACGGGAGATGGAATAACAGAACACAATGTGGGGGTGTGCAGTGGATCCTTGAATGAGATCATTTTCTCTGTTAGTGGAAACATTACTGAAATTTGAAGGAGGTCTGTAATTTCTTCAGTAGTTTTGTAATGGTGTTAGGTCTTGGTTTTGTTTGCTGTGCTGTGATTAGGTAACATTGGAAGGGACTGGCAAAGAATATCAAGAAACTCTAACTCTTTTTTTTTATTGTTCTATAAATCTAAAATGATTTCAAAATACAGGTTTTAAAAAATCTGTTGCTATGCAAGAGCTTTCCCATCTCAGTTAAGGGCAGCCGCAATCACCCAGTTGTAAATTTTGTATAATCTTTCTTCAGTCCTCTGTATCCCCAATCCTAGCACCTGATCTATCTCCCAGTCCCATGACTCTTGCTTTTCACTATCTCATCCTTTTCCACTTATCCCCATCCTGACTCTGATGACTGAAACATTGACCTAACTTGTGTCTTTGCTTCTACTCTTATTCTGACCTAATCCATTCTTTCCTCAGGGCTAGCAATGATGGTTTAAATATACACATCTATACATACACACAAGCACACACAGTCCCATAAACATGACACTCCTTGGCCAAAACCCCTCAAACAGCTTCCTGTTTGATAACATCCAAAATCCTTCATATCACCCACAAGACCCTGTATTTTCTGGCTTCTGCCCCTTTCCCATTCTTATTTGTAACAATCCCCACCTACCATGCCCTCTTTGTGTGCACCATGTTCCTGACATACTGCCTCCTCTCAGATCCTTGAAGGGACTCAGTGCCAGCTGCCCCAGGACCTTTGCATATGCAATTCCCTTTGTCTGGCTGGCTCCTAAACCTTGTTGAGGTCTCTTTTCCTGAGAGGCCTTCCCTTAATCCCCACACTGGAATATGCTTTTGTTTATTTGTTTCCATAGAGCATGTGGAAGGAACAGAAACAAACATTTGTGGAGCAAACTAGGAAACAGGAACTCAGTATTGTGACAAGACTTTCCCCAGGGCATTCTTTACATTGCAAAGGTCTGGAGTCTCACCAGCTTTCTCTAACCACAGTGACATTAACTCCCTGCTACTACACAAACTTAACCTCACCAATAACATACAACAGCCTCATGAATTGGAGATTCTTGTGACTCCCGTTAGATGGGGACAGCAAGGCTCAGAGAGACAATGTCTCTTCCCCAAAGTCCTGAAGAGTCAGTGGTAAAACCCAGGATGCAAACACAAGTTGTCTATCTCTAAGAGCAGGGATTCCAACTGGGGACTCTTCCACCCCACCATCTCTGCTATGAAAAAGAGAATGTCTAACATGAAGCATGAAGGAGTCTGATTAGACTTCAGGAGGCTCGATCTGAAGCCATCCCACAGAGCCCCCCACATCTAAGAAGGAACGTTGGGGAGACAAGACATGGGGACAGCATTACCCTCCCGAGGAATGCAAGCTTCCGCCAATCCCAGGAAAAGCAGCACCCACAGGGACATCTTCAGAAATGGCTCTGATCTGTACATAGTGAGGCTGGGACTCTGCCTAGATGTTGTTCTCCTGGGAGAAGTAGAACTCTGGCCACAGCACCCTCTGGGGCTCCAAGGACAAAACTAACTGCCCACACATGCCCTCCAGCCTGCCCCGTGGCTAGCAGGTGTCCAGAGCTGCTCCCACGTCAGCCACCTGCCTGGAGGCTGTGCTCATGTTACCCACTCTGGTGTGAAGCTGCTTCTTCCCATAGACACCTGCTGATTTATATTAAAGCAACACTTGAGGACACACTTTTATGCTGAGCATGGCTCAAATCCTCCTTTTATAGGGCCCATGAGCTATGAGTGATTTTTACATTTTTTAATGGTGGGAGGGGGGAAGACTAAAGAAAAAAATTTATGATGTGAAAATTACACAGATTGTGAATTCAAGCAGTCTGCAAACAAAATTTCATTGGCACATTGACACACCAATGCATTTATGTATTACGGGTAGCTGCTTTCAGGTGACAAAGCAAAGTTGAGCAGCAATGCCAGGGACTTTATGACCCACAAAGCCTAAAATATTTGCTACCTGACCCTTGATAGAAAATGTTTGTGAGCTACTGTCCTAGAAAAATTATACATTTCAGAAATAAAACAAAGCAAGAAAGGAAACAACATCTATCCTACTTTTACTCAAAGTATTATTTTCGCAGTTTTCTGTGTATTCCCTTCTAAGGGGTCTACATTTATACCCATCTCTAGCACTGACTAACCATGTGCTCTGAGAAGTCACTTAACCACTGAAAAGCTCAGTGGTTCCTCATCTATAAAATTCAGATAATGTTATTTCCAATCTCATAGGGTTGTTGAAAAAATTAATTTCATTTATACCTGTAGAGCACATAGAACAGCACATATTCCCTGTGTATATATATATATAATAAGAATACAATACACAGTATGTGTACGTCATATATATACAAACACTTAATATATGCATATATGTGATACCTAACACATGCATAGGTATCTTAAGATGTGATTACTTCATGGATCAAGTATTTAAACTACTTTATTATCTATGCACAATGTGCTCTGAAAATTTCTCCAAGGCTTTGAATATTCATTGGCTACAAAGTGTTGTAAGCATAACTTTTACTTTTTTTTTTTTTTGAGACAGAGTCTCACTATGTTGCCCTCAGTAGAGTACCCTGGCATCATGGCTCACGGTAACCTCAAACTCTTGGGCTTAACTGATTCTCCTGCCTCAGCTTCCCAAGTAGCTGGGACTACAGGTGCCTGCCACAACACCTGGCTATTTTTTTGTTGCAGTTATCATTGTTGTTTAGCAGGCTCAAGCTGGGTTCAAACACGCCAGCCTCAGTGTATGTGGCTGGTGCCCTGGCCACTGAGCTATGGGTGCCAAGCCAACTTTTACTTTTTTTTTTCTTATCATAAAAGCAAAGCTTATTATAAATAGATGGAGTGGACTTTGAGGGTAGTGAAAACTCTTCTGTATGCTACTATAGTGGTTGATACATGAATTATGTATTTGTCAAAGTCCTAGAACTGGACAACACTGCATAAACCCTCATGGAAACTATGGACGTTAGTTACTAATAACATATTAACATTAACCCATCAATTGTAAAAGCACACCACACTGATGTGAGATGTCACAGTAGGAAGGCTGTGTGGGAAGGCATATGAGAGCACTGTGCTTTCTGCTCAGTTTTTCTGTGAACCTAAAATTGCTCTAAAAAAGAAGCTATTATTTTTTAAAAAGCAACCATATTTATTGCAGAAAATTAAGAGTACAGAAAAGACTAATATCATGTCAATAAATCAGGAACAAGTGTTCCCAAGGTGTGAAATCTTTCCTTCTAGTCTTTTATATTTTTGTACATTTATTATAAAATGTTTACAAATAAGGGATATCAGAGATATTATTTTGTACTTTATTACTTCATGCATGGTCTGTTAATATCGAAATGTTCTTCTACATCATAGTCTTTTTTTTTTTTTTGTAGAGACAGAGTCTCACTTTATTGCCCTTGGTAGAGTGCCATGGCATCACACAGCTCACAGCAACCTCCAACTCCTGGGCTTAGTCGATTGCGATTCTCTTGCCTCAGCCTCCCAAGTAGCTGGGACCACAGGAGCCTGCCACAACATCCGGCTATTTTTTTGTTGCAGTTTGACCATGGCCAGGTTTGAACCTGCCATGGCCAAACCCTCGATATATGGAGTTCGCACCCTACCCACTGAGCCGCAGGTGCCAGCCTCACATCACAGTTTTAATGGTGGCATGTCATTGAGTTGCCTGGACACTGTAACATGAACAACCAGCATTTATTCAGTGCTTACTATGTGCCAATCACAGTTCTAAGTACTTCTCATTGAATTAGCTCATTTTTCCCTCACTGCAATCTCATGAGGCAGGCACTACTCTACTCCCCAATTTCCAGAAGGATAAACAGAGGCAGAGAGGGATATAGTCACTTGTTTAAGCTTTTGTGGCTGTTAAGAGTTAGAGCTGGGCTTCACACTCCTGAAGTCTGGCTTTGGAGCCCGATTGTAACCCTATCACTGTGCTGCCTCTTGGGGGCATGTTACCCCACAATTCATCTTACTACAGATTCCTACTTCTATTCTTTTTTTTTTTTTTTTTTTGAGACAGAGCCTCAAGCTGTCACCCTGGGTGGAGTGCCGTAGCATCACAGCTCACAGCAAGCTCCAGCTCTTGGGCTCAAGCAATTCTCTCGCCTCCACCTCCCAAGTAGCTGGGACTACAGGTGCCTGCCACAATGCCCGGCTAATTTTTGGTTGCCACCATCATTGTTGTTTGGCGGGCCAGACTGGATTCAAACCTGCCAACTCCGGTGTATGTGGCTGATGCCTTAGCCACTTGAGCCACAGGCCCTACTTCTATTCTTAACGTTTCCTAAACAACTTCCATGTTGGTGATGCTCTTAGAAGCTTAGTTGTGCATCTTCTCATAGAATCTACACAACTGCTGCATCCTTCCCATGGTAATGATGTAAAAGCTCAGAGTTAGAGGTGTGAAAACTTGGGGCCACTCTGCTGGTCCCCAGCCAGCCCTGATGGAGAGCAGTGCTGAATTGTCCTTCAAACATGGACCCTAAAAGACCAAGGGTCCTTCTAGGGGAGATGCTTTTTCTCTACATCTCTGTTTCACTGTATCCATAGGACAAATAGTGGGTATTGGTAAATCTGTCCTAAGAAAACATCACACCTAATGCAGGCAGATAAAGACTTTGGTTCTGCCTTTCCTATCTGTGTGGCCTTGGGCAGATATTTTTGAACCTGTAAAACAAGGGGGTTTTACATTTTTATTTAAATTGATTCATTTTTAAAAACTGATATTTTGAGACAAGGTATCACCCTATCACACAGGCTGGAGTGCAGTGGCACAATTATAGCTCACTCTAACCTCAAACTCCTGGGCTCAAGCTATCCTCTTGCCTCAGCCTCTTGAGTAGCTAGGAGTACAGGTATGCACCATCATGCCTGTATAATAATTTAAAAAAATTTTTTGGAGAGATGATGTCTTGCTGTGTTGCCTAGACTGGTCTCAAACTCCTGGATGGGCTCAAAAAATCTTTCTGTCTCAACCTCCCAAGTAGCTAGGACTATAGGTGTGCACCATCACGTGTGGAAAAGAATTTTATAAAAATTTTAAGAGAGATCATGTCTTGTTATGTTGCCCAGGCTGGTCTCAAACTCCTGGCCTCAAGAGCTCCTCCAGCGTTGCCCTCCCGAAGCACTAGGATTATAGGATGAGCTACCATGTCCAGCCATCATTTACCTACTGAGGAATACTTTGGTTGTCTCCAGTTTGGGGCTATTATAAATAAAGTAGATCATTTACATTCGATATAATCATTGATATGTTAGAATTAAAAACTACCATTTTATTTTTCATTTTCTGCTTTTTTCCTGTTTTTCATTTCACTATTTTCTTTTTTTCTACCTTCCTGTGCACATCATAGAATTTCATTTTTATTTATCTATAGTTTTTAGGTTTTTCTCTATTAGAGATTTATAGTAGTTACTTTAGGTGCTAAGTTATAAATATACAACTTGTCAGTTAAATTTATTCTTTTAAAAATAATAGAAATGAGGTCTTGCTATGTTGCCCAGGATGGGCTCAGACTCCTGGGCTCAAGTGATCCTCCCACCTTAACCTTCTGGGTAGCTGAGGCTTAAAGGAAATGCTGCTGTACCCAGCTTGACTCATTTAAAAATCTTACTAGACACATGCCATAGTGGGTGGGATTATGGACCCTAAAGCTATCTAACCCCCAGAATCTGTTAATATTCTACCTTACATTGCAAAAAGGACTTTACAGATAGTATTCAGTTAAGGTTTTTGATATGGAAGCTTATCCTGAATTATCCAATTTAGTCCAATGTAATCACAAGAGTCCTCACAAGAGAAAGAGGAACACAAAAGAGTCAGAATCAGAGAAGATGTGACAACAGAAGCAACATTAGAGAGAGAGAGAGAGATTTGAAGATGATACACTGCTGGCTTCGATGCAGAGGACTCTGGGGTGGGTCTCTTGGGAGGACACAGCAGGTGTCGAGGAATATCCACTCTTGCAGGGGACCCTTCTACCACTGCCATCACGGTGCTGTCTATCTATGCTTCAATCCCTGGTATGTGCTGGATCATTGTATATACAATAGAGGACCCCTGAATAATCCTATAGACTAGGCTGAGAGGGGGATCTTCACTGGGAGAGCATGCATGGTACTACAGGACTGTAGAAATGAGGAAAAGAAACAAGGTGTAGAAATAAACAAAAACAACCCAAATGAGAATGAGTGAAGACTATTCATGCAGAGCTTTCTCTAATAAAGAGTAAACTGACATCATTTGTGTTGGGCACAGACTGAAGGTAGGCAGGCGAGTGGGAAAACTTCATAGTGGGAAAAGGGAAGAGTGCTCTGATGGGAGGCTTGGCACCAGGAAACAGGAAGCTGCTGACCGGAGCACAGTGTTGCATGTGATTGGTTAGAGG